GTGGTGATCCAGACTTCCGTGACCGCAATCCATGCACGACTAGGTACAATTTCATGTCATTCAATCACCGTTCAGGAAGCTCGAACAATGGTACACTGGGCGAACGTGACATCCAAGTTGGTACATATGGTGCGTCGGCGCAAACGGTTACGTAAATGGACGACGGTCCTTCAAACAATCATATGAGATATTTCCTTCTATAAAACATGCTCTAATTCCATCAATAAACCTAAGCATTTGCTGCTATCAATTCCTCGTGTATTTCATTGGTGTCCGCAGTTTGTGTTGGACCCAATTCAGTTCTGAGCAGTACAGTACGGATTCTCGTATATCTAAATTCAATACTATTCTGATTACTACATTCAAACTGAGGGCCTGGCTTACGTTTTCTCCTCTGCGATTTTCCATCCAAATCTAACCGTGTCTTGATTGTTCTCCGTTGAGTTTATACGGGCCGAGAATCGAATTATCAACATATCTTATTCCCGTTCGATCATACACTGCTAGTCAGTAATAATTGCCAGATATTGATTCGCGCTTTTGTCACGAAAGTTGGGACGTATTCACAAGGGTTTATTTTGTGTTGATAGATTCAAGTTTTCCTAAAAGAAACATTGAAGGTTTACGGGATACTGAATTTATTCCAAGCGAACGCGATCTTAGTTCATTTTTTTACTTGCTGTCAATCATAAAAATTCAGAGATACAGGTTTGCCAAATTGGAAATGGCTGTTTTTTTATTTGAATTTATGCCTTTCATAGTACGGTGATGATACCCTTTTCCGCTTAATTGATGTGGGAATTTGCAGATTAATATGTGGAACTTTGGGAAATTTATGAAAGTTTTCACCCCAGCTAACTGTGCTCCACAAACGTATTCAATCATTTGCATTACTTGATTCGTACTTTACAAAAGAATTAATGTTCTGTACTCCCATGCACAAAATCATCTGATCGCTCGTAATGATTGCAGATATACTGAGGCTCCTTGCATTGGTTATGACATACGATTTCTTTGTTCAGAAACTTTTTTCCTTATTACATTAATACCGCTCTGTGTTCAGATTTCATTCAGAGTCCTAGTGATAGCTGGATCAGCTCTGCATAATCTGTGGTTTGTAAGAGTTTCAGGCCTGAATTGGGGTCACCACAAGGCAGTATTGAAAACAATATTTTTATACACCACCAGCAGCACCAGCTCCGTCACCATTACAATGACAATCATTGGTTGTGTATAAGGAGTTGTTGTGAAAGTGAATTATAAATCCATTCGAAGACAACTATTGACAGGCGACTACTTCTGTTTCGCGTCCATGGATCTCCATTATCAAATGTGAACCTAATGATTGACAGGTGTTCCGAAACTGGTCCCGTTTTCATGTCACACCAACCGGTTTTCATTTTCCCAGATGTGTATGACACCAAATATAAAAATAAAGGAAGTAAATGAACGCGCATTTATAGTGTGAAGAGTTTTGTTTCAGCTGTGTCGAGTGAGTGAGTGAGTGAGCGCAGTTCTTCAAAAATATCCGATGTCCTTTTCTGGGTGACCTTCACAAGAACGTTCATTGTAGAGGATTGTTTGCACTTAACAGATGCACAGCGTGCACTGACTGAGTGGGGGTAGGGAGTAAAGTTAACCAAATGTCCATCATATAGAGACGGAGTTGTGGACAGAGCGCGAGTTTGAAGTGGGCGCGGGTGTGGAACGTTTGATCATACTGTTTAATTCCTTCAGGTCAAGGAGAATTGAAGTGTGAGATAGATAGATCAACCTTGGGCATTTTCTGGTAACTCAGGTTCATCCGGCAGAAGGAATTGGTATATTTCTCGTGCCATTCCTTCTTAAACATGGTCACAGGTAAAAATACTTTGTTTGAAGTTGAACCGAAAAACGGACGATTCATGTAATAGCTGGACTGCTGTTGACCAAATTAAGGAAACAGTAATTGTTTCACCTTTAAATGACGTTCAGATTCAGTTGATGTTCAGCAGTTCATATTATTTAAAGTACTGTGAACATCAACATGAACGTTAGGAAATACATTTTTCTGCTAAAAGCTGTCAGCCACATAAGTGATACTTTTGCGAACTGCTAACTGTATACATTTTACAACATCATACTTCTTACTACTTATAGATATTGATAGAACTCGTACAACGTGACCCTCAATTTAGAAGTGAATTTCACTTTCCAATACCATACTTGCAAATTGAGAGCCAAGAGTAAGGTGTCGTCATCTTACAATTCATGCGCCACCGACCATCACAAGAATCAATACTTGGTATTTTATAAAGTATTTGATCACTAGAACCAACAACCTACGAATACGAATAAAGATATGTTACGTATGATGTGGCTAATACCGCAAGCATTTTCGTGAATGAGGCTCCATTGGGATGTGTGTATTTCAAATACAAATTCAAATTTTTATTATGGGAAAGAAACTTACAAAGACTTCGATTATCAAATCCCGTAGGGTGTTCGGAACACGATTCACAATATCACAGTTAGTCCATGAAAATAAAGTAGTAAGGTAATGCTTTGACGAGCACAACAGAATATATTGTGTAGTTGGGTGTTGAAACATGGATGATGCCGTTTGAGGAGCAACTCAAGTCTGTGCGAATGACTACTCCCAGATCCTTCTCGCACGGAGCATGAGGCAAAGTTTCGTGTCCGAGAGTGTAAGAATAACGACCGTTGTGACGTAGTGATACGAATTTACATTTGGTAACGTTGAATTCCATATCATTGGAGACAGACCATCTGTGGGCTTCGTCAAGGGCGTTCTGGAGATCAAATAAATCTTATGGTTTTATTATTGTCCTCCATATTTTGGCATCGTCCACAAACAGCAGACTTTGGGGTCCGAGAACGTCTGGAAGATCATTTATAAAAGCGAGGAAAAGACGTGGGCCTAGCACAGATCCCTACGGAACCCCACGATTGACATCTATTGGATCGGAAACACGAACTGACATGGTACGTAGACGAAGAAAGTCCTCGATCTAGCCAAGCACGAGTCCACGGATTCCATAATTATACAGCTTTCTTATCAGTATTTGATGATTTACTCTATCAAATGCTTTAGAGAAGTCCAGGTATAAAGCATCTACCCCTTTGCCTTGGTCTAAGGCATGAGTCCAATCGTCCCGAGCCAAAATCAAGTTAGTTGCACATGAATGATTTTTTCGAAACCCGTGCTGGTATGGGGATAGTAAGTTATTTTTCTCCAGATGATCCATTACCGAATCTGCAACAACAGATTCCATGTTTTTGGACAACACTGGAAGGAGAGTGACGGGTCGGTAGTTTGCATCCACCTTTGTAAATTGGTGAAATGACACCGTTTTTCCACACCTGAGGAAGGACGGTATCTTCGAACAGTTTTTGGTATAGCTCACCTAAAGGATCGGCTGTGACTTGCCAGGGTGATGTGGGCTTGTGGAAGAATGTTGTCTAAACCCGGTGATGAAATCTTCTTCAAAGCCAGGAGCTTTGCCTTCATCCTTTTGGGAGGAAAGATAGTGATTGTCAGTAATGGGTAAGGAATATATTCCAGCAAAGGGGGAAGTACGAACCCAGCGTTACTAGGGGCATCGACCACTTGACAGTAATGTAGTCTAAGCATTTCTGCAGCCTCCTTGGTTGTCGCTGAAACACGTCCAGCTGAGTTTAGTATCGGAACACTGTGTTTGATTTTCCGGGAATCGTTTACATGCTTATATAATAGCTTAGGGTTTGCGATAACCTTCCTCGTCAGCGTATCATGATAATTGTGCTTGTCTTCCCGCACCAAATTTTTACAATGATTTCGAAGGAGTTTGTAAGCTTCCCAAGTGCTGGGGCATGGACAGCGTTTGAACGCCCTCCAGTGAAAATCTCTTTGCATTATCCCTTTTCTTAGTTCGACTGCGAATTGCTGATTTTCGGACAGTCGGTTGGCATAGACGCTTGACGGTTGTAACAGCAGCTACCAATGTTGTGATACTATTAGTAAATTTTCTCCAGGATTCCAGGGGATTGCAGACTAGATCAGGGGAGATTCACTGGTTTCCATGAGCCAGGCTGTTTAGTCCTGCATAGTCAGTTGTGCTGCGAAAGCGATCCGAAGAAACTGTTATTACTGATGCATAGCAAACGTATTCGAACAATAATACAGCGTGATCACTGCGCCCCAACGGAGTTGCGATTGCAATTGATTCGATCATTAATTATTCATTCGTCAGTGCTAGATCCAAAGTCGACGAAATTTGGTTGGTTCCAAACCTGGTGGGTTCCTTCACATGATTGTACAACGGATGTGGTTGGATGAACTGCTTCAACTGTCGTTCAAATGGCGTACACAATGTAGTCACGTTGCTCAGCTTTGAACAGTTGAAGTCACCCATAACAAGAATATGGGTGAAATTCAATGACAGGAAGTAAGACATTGTTTACGACAAAGTCTCATTCGATGAATCTGCTGACGACGGAGGGCGATAACTTGCACCGATCAGTCCGATATCATGTTGTGTTAGCTTCAGTTTACACCAAAACGTATCTAAAGCAGCGAACGGGCACTCAATTTGTTCGCATTGCAAGCTGTTATGATAGTAGAGCAACACGCCCCCACCTCGCGTTGGACGATCACGCCTCAATAGCTCCATGCCTGGTAATCGCAGCTCAGAGTCCAAAATGTCGGCCGTCAACCAGGTTTCGATTAGGGCAATGAGATCCCATCGACCGGTCCGACAACGTAGTTCCACTTCTGGAAACTTACTGAAAAAACCCTGAGCGTTGGTATAGAAACAGTTCAGTCGTTGTCGGTGCAGAAATCCCTTGGAGTTTAGGGATGTAATTTGGCCGACCTCGTCGTCGGCCGATAGAGGTTTCTTGCCGTAGGTGTTTGTTGGGTTTGGTCTGATGGTGTCGGAGTGGAGCATGAAGTTTGCGGTGTTTCACGAGCAATGTGTTTGACATTTTCGACTGGTGGACAAGTTTTCGGTCCTGAATTCAGCATCGGTCTTACGCATAGTTCTTTGGGCCCTCTGGTTCTGTGTTCATACCATGACTGGAGAACTGTGTTTACTATTTCTGGTGTCCCAAGGGTTACCTTCAGTATTTGCGGACCATCTCCGCGATAGCTGGGAGAACGCGGAAGGCGTTTACTGGCCGTGGCAGTCTAATAATTCTTGAATGAAGCACCATTCGTAAAAATCATTTTTTCGACAGTTGGATTCACCGTCTTCGGGTAGCTGGGGCACTCCGTGTATGAGAATCCCCCGCAAGTTGTCTGCATCGCGTTCACNCGCGCTCAGTCCAAGGTCTGTCCAGTAAAATTCTGGTATTGCTGAACCCATCTGCAATGATAAAACTAGAATAAGGACATTTTCAACGTCTTCTTCACTAACCAGCGTCACACGAAGTAACCTTGATTCTCCGATATGTGGTGATGTTGGTTGGCGCCAGAGACGTGAGGCTCACCGGTTTTGCTTCTACACCCATTAGGGCACATACCTCTGTCCAGCGACTCAGCTCGTCCTGTTGTCTCTCCCTCAATGATTGACTTGTGGATTCTGGAAGATTTGTGCAAATTACCGTGAGTGCAGTGTTGCCACTTAATCTCTTGTTTATTAGTGACGGTATAGTAGCTTGCGACTGACGTTTAAGCGGCGGTACTTTGACTACAGGTACCGAAACTTCGACCGTTGGTTTCCTCGTTGCCATTGGAGAGGAAGTGATGCGAGCTACCACCTGATTTGTTTTGTTAAAGACACTTCTCGGACGTTTTGACAGCCTTGGGTTTGAACCTTCTGGAGTGATCTCGGAACTGAGGGTCTTTATCTCCTCTTCAAGAGAAGCATTTTGTATTTTTGCCCTGTCCTCGACAGCTGCTAATAGGTTTTCAAATCTGTGTGATATCCGTTGTGCTTTTGACAATGGGCAGTTTGGAACATTCCCCACAGAACCAGAAATAGTCTGTCTGTGAGACTAATAGTTACACCCGTATTGCCGATAGTTTAACACACGAGGGATGAAAGGGTCGTATGCAGTTTGTGCATGAGATGCCGGTCTTGATTTCTTTTCCACACTTCAATTCACCGCATACTCCTGGTCCTGTTGTGACCCCTGGAGCGGCGCTAGTTGCCATACTTCGACGACCCATTTCGGATTGACTGTGAAGGGCGAGGCTGGCTGCAGTTGACAAAGGTCAAGTACAATGAAAAGTGCACGTCCGGGCCAATCACACGTATGTGTTGATGATTCTAACTGACGCGTAGAACAAAGNAGCTTGCAAATATCGATCGACTGAACGGGTCGTAATGGGATGGACGCACGTGTGAGTGATGGTGCGAATTGCACAAAAACTGCATTGCACAAATATCTATCCAGCGCACTTGAAATTGAGCGTAGAAAGCTCAATTAGGATTTGTTAGATGGAGCGTAATATTTCCTTCACAATGGTATCACAATATTGACACTTCGAAGGAAAATGAACAACTTTGCACGCGTGAGTATTAGCGAAATATTTACTACAAATCACGGAAAAGCACGGCAGAGTGCATGGTATGGTTTGTATCCGAGAGAGAGAGAGAGAGGTATCGCTAGATAGATCTCACAGAGCTGAGTCGAACGAGCGTAAACTCGTCGATGTACGATGAGCTGAGACGGAGTAAATCCACTTGAACCGGGAGTGCACAAATTATGCGACCACACACAGTGAATCACAGATATTCAAAGTTGTAGTACTTTATTCACAGCGAGTGTTAAGGAGAGTGGTATTATTGCATCCGTATTGGTTGCGGATAAAATATTTAACTGCAAACCGTGTAGGATGGAAACAAAGAGGGCCAATCCAAAGGTGAAGACAAGTAGAGGAAACACAAAATGGAATCATTTCATCTTTTTTAACTATACAACTTGAGAAAAATTAGGACCATTGAGGGAACACTATCAAGTGTGCAGTTCATGTTTTTGAATGGAAAATATTGGGAGTGTGGGTAATTGTCGGAAGCTGCGGTCTGCATCAAAGATGGATGTATAGATGGGTGTGGAGTGAGAAGATAGTACTGAACTGTAGAACAAATGAATTGCCAACATGAGAGGTTTGACTTTTACAATAGCAGGAAACATATTCTTGAAATAGAGCAACGAATGCCGGGCCATAAGGAAGTTGCCTTGCTTTGCTCATACAAGAAGCGCATAACTTTAAGTACTTATGTGTAAGCAGAAGGGTGCTTTAACGCAAAACTGGTCCTGTGATTACCGGTTCCACGGTTAAGTACGGAAGCACTGATATTGGATGCCTGATTGGCATCAGTTACTTTCGGATAGTGTCACGTGTACACTGTCAAAAGATAAAAATCATTAAAAGTCAGAAAGATATAATAATCTAGAATGGATGCAAATTGGGGTTGCTCACTGAAATAGAACGAGTTATTGCAGAGAGTTGAGAGCCAATTACTAATTGAAACAAAACCACACAAAGAGTGAACGACCAGGATTTTAAAACATCGAATATCGTAGGAATCATGCCTAAATCCACAACTACACTCTCAGTTAAGTCAGCTCATAACTTCATCAGTTGGTTCTTTCCTTGATATACTCGTTGTCTCGTTGAGATCAGATTTTCTGAATTAGTTGCTCCTCCTAGTTCGATTGTAACATGTTATTACACACAGAACATCAAATGAAGGATACACCCTCAGTTTAGGCGCATTCAACAGTTTTTATTGCAAAATACAATCGATCGAATGCTGCAGCGGTTGATT